AGCATTTGCTGACATTTCTGCTGAGCTTTGCATGGCCGCCTACGCCTTTTTTTTGCTCCCGAGCTGAGATGGATGACCTCATCCATCTGCAGGGCTCTCTTGACCCAGGAAACAAAGCTGGGCTTTGTTCACGGACCGATGCAGGAGAGAACCTGCAATCCTCACCGAGTGGGCTTGGCAAGACCCTGCGGCCTTCCTCTGCTCTTCTAAGATTGGGCTGCAGTATTCCAAACACCCATTAGGTGTCAGCAAGGAGAGACCCCCTCTCCCCAAAATGCCAGGGTTTCACTGCCATCGCTGCCATCTAGTGGCAGTTGTGTTACTTACAGCTGATTTATAGCCTGGCAGTTGAGATTTGAATTAATTTATTTTTTTTTACAATTTTTATAAAGGAAATAATTAGCTATCCTATAGGGCAGTGATGGCTAACCTTTTTGCCATAGTGTGCCAAAAGCGGGGGGAGCACGAGAGGGGGGTCGTCCGCGTGCGTGCCTACACCCATAATTATATGTGCCCCGCCCCCCACGTATGCGCACACAACCCCCCTGCATTCCCTCCGCTTTTGGCATGGTGGGCTTGGTAGGCCTGTTTTTTCCCTTCCCAGGCTCCAGAGGCTTTCTAGGAGCCTGGGGAGGGCAAAAACAGCCTTGGCCCTCCGGAGGCCACAAATGGCCCGTTTGCCGACTTCTGGTTCCCTCCGGGGGTGGGGGGTGGGGGGTGGGGAAGGCTGTTTTCAATCTCCTCAGGCTCCTAGAAAGCCTCTGGAACCTGGGGAGAGAGAAAAACAGGCCTTCCGGGCCCACTGGAAGACAGCAAACAGGCCGTTTCCAGCCTCCGGGAGGATGGGGAAGGCTGTTTTTGCCCTCCCCAGGCTCCTAGAAAGGTTCTGGAGCCTGGGGAGAGGGAAAAATGGGCCTCCCCCCCCCACTAGGCCCTCCAGAGGCAGGAAACATCCTGTTTCCCTAGTTCTGGTGGGCCCAGAAGGCCCGAAAATTAGCTGGCCGACGCACATGTGCGCCGGGGCTGAGCTCGCGTACCCACCGATATGGCTCCACGTGCCACTTGTGGCATGCATGCCATAGGTTCACCATCACGGCTATAGGGCTTTTTTTTTTTTTAAAAAAAATGGGACCCCCTATTAAACAGAGTATAAAATGATAATATAAAAACAATGATTATGCAAAACAATCATTTTGAAAAATATAGACACTTCTTATTAAAAACAAAGAGGCAGGTTGAACAACTGCACATCGCCCGTAATAGGGGAATCCTCTCAAGTTGTTTCTTATATTAGAAGGGGCTAATATCCATTCTTCTACAGGGGCGTTGACACTTTTTCAAGGAAAATCTCATTTTTTTTCTTCTTCTTCTACTGAGCCAACCGGCCTCTGCACTTATTTTTTCCATTCAACTTAGTTAAAATATTTATTTTATCACATTTTGTACACTGCTCATCTTACCTAAGTGGCTTCGGGAATGTACAGTACAAAGATCAAAAGTGGCATGCACTTCAATAAAAACGAAGATAAGACAGAGTGAAGAACAAAGTGAAAGTATTAAAATGACGGATTAAAAAAAAGGGCCTAGGAAGCTGAAATAAAGAGAACTAGACACCTACACCGATGCTCACGTACACACAAGCATAAATAGTAATTACGGAGCGAGATGCAAATTTTTTGTTTGTTTGTTTGCTTGGGGTAAATTTCCAAAGATCTTCAATACAGGTTGTCCTTGACCAAAGCTACGACAGACCTCCTCGGAGTTATTTACAATCCGGGTGAACCCCTCGTGGGGTTTGCTTACCAACTGCCATGTTGGCTTAACGATCGTTGCAAACTAAAAGGCATAAAACCAGGCAGGAAGTCATCCCTTGACGACTTGCTTAACGACCAACAGAACTTAACAACCAGAATTCCGGGGTCAATTCTTGTTGTAAGTTGAGGACTACCGATAGAAATGCAGGTTTTTAAAACCTGGATGGACCCAGGATAATTTCTTGGGAAGTTGGCCAGGTGTAGCCTCAGAATCCAGCGGTGAGATGGGATAGGATGGGATGGATGGATGGGGAGGGAGGGAGGGAGATATAGATATATAGATGGTGGATGGATGGATGGGGAGGAAGGGAGATATAGACGATGGATGAATGAATGGGGAGAGAGGGAGATATAGATGATGGATGGATGGATGGATGGATGGATGGATGGATGGATGGGGAGGAAGGGAGATATAGATGATGGATGGATGGATGGATGGATGGAGGAGGGAAGGGAGATATAGATGGGGAGGAAGATATAGATGATGGATGGATGGATGGATGGGGAGGAAGGGAGATATAGATGGGGGTAAGATATAGATGATGGATGGATGGATGGATGGATGGATGGGGAGGAAGGGAGATATAGATGATGGATGGATGGATGGGGAGGAAGGGAGATATAGAGGATGGATGGGGAGGAAGGGAGATATAGAGGATGGATGGATGGATGGGGAGGAAGGAAGATATAGATGATGGATGGATGGATGGATGGGGAGGAAGGGAGATATATATGGGGAGGAAGATATAGATGATGGATGGATGGATGGGGTGGAAGGGAGATATAGATGATGGATGGATGGATGGATGGATGGGGAGGAAGGGAGATATAGATGATGGATGGATGGATGGGGAGGAAGGAAGATATAGATGATGGATGGATGGATGGATGGATGGATGGATGGGGAGGAAGGGAGATATAGATGATGGATGGATGGATGGATGCTTTGCCCCACATTGCTGCCCAATAGCAGGGGCTTGTGGGCTTATCCCAGGTCTCTCTGCCAACCTGCTTCTGTGTTCAGCCCAGCCAAGCTTTCTGTCGTGAGCCCATCAAAGTCAAAGCCTCCAACTCTGGTTTTGTGAATAGCAGCTGCTGGGGCTTCGCTGTGAGATCGGAATTAGGAGTTGCTAAACTTAGCTCCGGCAGGGCAAAAGTTGGGTCTCTGGAGAGCTGTGGGGAAAGCGGGGAGGCCAGCCCACTTCCTGGTGCTGCCGTTGGGGCAGCCAAGGGTTGAGCACAGGAGGGAGGGAGGGAGGGGGGCAAGGTGGCAAGCGTGGCTGATGCTAGTTCCAGCTTTGCCATCGCTCTGGTTCCCAGCCTGGGCAACTGGGTGGACTTCCAACTCCCAGAATTCCTCAGCCCGCAGGCCATCGCCGTTGGTGATCTTCCCAGCAATTGAAGTCAATGGGAGAAGCAGGATTCATTTAACGTCGCCTTAGGAAAGCACCTTAACCGCTGCGCCCAACTGGCATGGGGCCTGCTGTGCCCACGATGGATGTCTCTCTTGAGGAAGAGCGTAGAATCTCCTTGTTAAGTTTGATTTAGGAGAATGAGTTTCCATTGATTTAGTCCTGATCGTCTGCATGGAGCTACTCCTTGACTTAACAGCAATTTGTTTACTACCGTCCCAAGTACAACGGCGCTGAAAAACGCCACTTACGACCGTTTTTCGCACTTACGACCGTTGCAGCATCCCCTTGGCCACGTGATCGGAATTCAGACGCTTGGTAGCTGGTCCCAAGATCCCTGTGATTCTCTTTTGCAACCTTCTCACCAGCAACGTCCCTGGGGAGAAGCCAAGATTCACTTAACATCCTTGTTACTAACTTAAAACCGCTGCTGTCATTCCCTTAGGCAACTGTGGCCGGCTAGGTTGTAAAATGGGGGGGACAAAGCTTTGCTTATCCAATGGCTCGCTTAGCAACAGAAACGTTGGGCTCCATGGTGGTCGTAGGTCGAGGACTACTTGAGACTGTCCTTCTGCCCCTTTGCCACGTGGCGAAAGAGAAGCCGTGGACCAAAAGATGGGTTTTCAGCCCTTGAAGCGGTGAAAAATGTTTGCAAAGAGAAATATTTTGCGTATGTATGTATGTATGTATGTATGTATGTATGTATGTATGTATTGCAAGGAGAGGCTTACGAGCAATCCTGGCAGAACATCCATACTGTGGCAGGTTAATTCAATAGCAATCGCTCTCCTTTGTTTTTTGACACCCCCCCCCGATTCCCCCCCCTCCTTCGCCCATCAATGGCACACTAATGGATTCGCCAGGGAGTCCATCCATCCGTCATTCTGGATGCTTTCAAGTTAAAACACATAGTTGAAGGATGCTTGGAAACGGTTCTTAAGAAAGAGAGGGAGGGAGGGAGGGAGGGAGGGAGGGAGGAAGGAAGGAAGGAAGGAAGGAGAAAAGACAAAAGGGAGGGAGGGAGGGAAAGGAAAAAAGGAAAGGAAGGAGGGAGGGAGGGTAAAAAAAGAGGGAGGGAAGGTGGGAAGGAAAGAAAAAAGAAGGAAAGGGAGAGGAAGGAAGGGAGGAAAGAAAGAAAGAAAAAAGAAAAGGAAGGAGAGAAAGAAAGGGAGGGAATGAAGGAAGGAGGGAAAGAAAGAAAGAGGGAGGAAAGGAAGGAAGGAGGGAAGTTGGGAAGGAAAGAAAAAGGTTGGTTTTATATATATAGTTGGTTTCCTCTTTACATTCAATATGTACTTAGTGAACAGCATACTGTCTGAGTTCATTCGTTTACATAGTAATACTTCTTAAATTCCTAATTTCTACCCCTGTTGTCCAATCATTGATAAAACCAGTCCCAAGTTCGAAAATTTTCTGTGTCTTCTTTTTCTTTTATCTTCATTTCTGCACAGACTAATTTTTTTTTAATTATCTCTTCTTCCGTAGGTGTTTTCTCGCTTTTCCAATGTTGTGCAAATACAATTCTTGCCGCTGTTAAAACATGCAATATCAAATATATATTTCCTTTATCGTATTTTTCTGGTATTGTGCCCAACCAAAATAGTTCTGGCTTAAAATCTATATGCTGTCTTAACATTTTTTTTTAACCACTTATGCATTTTTGCCCCCCACCCCCTTTTTTTTTTTTTTTTTTTGGCTTTTGGGCATGTCCACAGGTGATGGTAGGTGCCTGTTTCTGCAAAACCTGATCTTGAAAAGATTTTTCTCGTTTTAGGTCTCATGGTACCAAGTGACGTGTCCTCCTTATGAGAATCAGTCCCCAGAAGCGCCCGAGAAAATGTCAGGAATGCAGGTAAGGAACAAGACATAGAGGGGAAAAAAACCCTCTATATTTTCTTTTGATTTCAGTTTCACACATTCACACAATTTTGGGTGTGTGAGAGGGGGAGAAAAGATTTTTCCTGGACATTTTTTTTAAAAATTCCCACTCATCTGATGTCTCTGATTCTCTGGGATCCTTCCTAATGATTGGTTGAAACGCGGTTAGTATACGGGTAGCCCTTGACTTACCCGTTTAGTGACGGTTCATTTATTGACCGTTTGAAGTTACAACGGCATTGAAAAAAAGCGACTTATGACCGTTTCTCACCCTGACGACTGTGGCAGCATCCCCATGTCACGTGATCAAACAAACTTTGCATGCTTGGGTGACTGTTTCACATTTATGACGGTTGTAGTGTCCTGGGGTCACGTGATCTTCTTTTACGACCTTTCTGACGAGCAAAGCCAACAGGGAAGCCAGTTTCACTTAACAACCACGTGGCTAACGTAGCAACTGCAGCGCCTCACTTAACCACGGTGGCCAGAAACGGTCGTAAAGCGGAGCAAAACTCCCTTAGCAAATGTCTCGCTTAGCAGCATACATTTGGGGCTCCATTGCGGTTGTAAGTTGAGGATTTCCTCTATTTTCCCCCTCCCCCAAATTTTGGTGCTGGGTTTTCTAGTGGGGTGTTTTTATGGCATATCAGCCCTCAGATAAATGCTTTCTGATTTTTGTAGCTCATTTTGATGCCTGTGTGTTTGTATCTCCAAAGCAGTTTTTACATTGCTGAGGCTGTTCTTCTTTTTTAAAAAAATTTTGATACGGAAGATGTGCTATTTTAACGAAGGGGGGGGGAAAAAAAGGGAAGGAACTATAGCTCAGTGAAAGATCACATGACTTCCTTGTCAGACAGGTTGGAGTCCCCCGGTTTAAAAATATAGGTAATCAAGTACCAACTAGCAATCCGTCTCAAGTTTGGCGACTTGAAGACGGGTGGACTTCAATTCCCAGAATCCCCCAGGCGAGCATGGCTGACTGAGGAATTCTGGGAGTTTGGAAGTCCGCCCGTCTTCCAATTACCGAGCTTGAGAAAATACTGCTACCCAGGTCATCCTCGACTTAGCCGTAATTAAGCCCCAAATTACAGTCGTAAATCGTGGCAGTCATTAAGCAGGTCGCCCTATGGCCACGCTCGTTTTGATGACTTCTTTTGTCAGCTGGTCATTAAGTGAACCCCTAATACCAAATGGATAGTTTTGCAAAAAAAAAAAACCCACAGCAAGTCAATGCAGAAAATAAGTCTCAAATTGTGGTCACGTGACAGACGGATGCTCAAAAATCCCTAAATGCCGCCAGGTTGCGAAGCACCCCAAAAACGATCACGTGATCACAAGAGAGGGGGTGGGGTGGAAACAGGTGACTGTCAGAACTTCAAATCCGGATCCTAAGTCCGGATCCTGGAGAGATCCGTCGTGAATTCGAAAGGTTGCTAAGCCAACGATCGTAAATTGAGGACTTCCTGGCTAGAAAGAGCTTTGTTTTAAAAAAAATTTTTAAAAAGTTTTTTATTTTGAAAACGTTAAAAACAAGACACAAACACACATTTTTATACATATCACTTTTCCCTACAGCTACTTCGAAGTGATCCTTTCTTACCATTTACATCTATTCACACCTATTTTAACTTTGATCTTATTCAACAATTTATTGTCCATCATTCTTTCTTTCGTCTAGATTGTACTTAATATCTTCAACATTTTTTTCTCCCCTCTCTCCTTTATTCCTCTTTCTCATTTTTCCTATTCTCCAACCATTCCTACCACCTACATACACCACACTTTGTAATATTCTGTATCCTCTTTCTCCTTGAAAGAGCAAATGAATTTTAAATCGGGTGTTTGTAGTTTTTTAACATAAGGGCCAAATTTTATATATATATATATTGATTTTAAATTGTTTTTAATTTTTGGGGTATATGTTTGTTTTAATATGGCTGTACACCCTGAGTCCTTCGGGAGAAGGGCGGTATAGAAATTTAATAATAAACTAAACTAACTTGAGTTCTTTTGTTAATTTGTCCGTCTCTGCGCACTCTCTAAGATTTTCCTAATTAAATCTTCTTCTGATGGTAAGGTTTCCTTCTTCCAATTTTGCCCATAGACTATGCGGGCTGCTGTCAGTATATGTAATATTAAATAATATATTTCCTTGGTTTAGTTTTCTATGGAAATCCCCAGTAGAAACTGCTCAGGGGTTTTGTTTTGTTTTTAACGCTTTCTCTTGACGTTGGATCCAAATGTTTAACAATGTCCTTGTTCTTTTTCTGAAAGGCTGTTTGGGCTTCCGGCACAGAATGTATCGCCAAATATAATTTTCACGGCACAGCTGATCAAGATCTCCCCTTCAGCAAAGGAGACGTTCTCACCATCATCTCGGTCACCAAGGTAACCGTCCTCTCTCCGGCGCTGGGCCCAGCCGTGTGCCCACAGGCGTCTGCCGCCAGCCACGGTGACGGACAGACGGATATCGAGGGTGCAACAAGGGAACCGCGAAGGCCCAAACCGGTGCTTGCTCGGTGGCTCTTGAGGTCTTGGGGTTTGCACTGGGGGGGTGCCACGATGAGACGTGTCGGGTACCTGCCCCCAAAGGGCCACAGGTGGCTTAGGATGTCATTGGGCCAAAGACATCGCTGTGTCTGTTGTGTGATAAGGTCACGGGGTGTGTAGCTTCATGATGTCATCCTGGTTTTGCTAAAAGGGGCAGTTTGCGCCAATTTACGACGACAAAATCTGGTCTGTTTGTCTCTCTTCTCTCTCATTCTCTCTCTCTCTCTCTTCCCTCTCTCTCATCTATCTTCTCTCTCTATCTTCTCTCATCTATCTTCTCTCTCCCCCCCTCTTCCCCTCCCTCCCTCTTTCTCTCATCTCTCTCCTTTCTCTTCCCTCTCTCATCTATCTTTTCTCTCTTCCCTCTCTTATCACTCTCTCTTTCTCTCTCTCTCTTCCCTCTCTCTCATCATCTTCTCTCTCTTCCCTCTCTTATCACTCTTTTTCTCTCTCTCTCTTCCCTCTCTCTCATCTATCTTCTCTCTCTTCCCTCTCTTATCACTCTCTCTTCTCTCTCTTCCCTCCCTCTCATCTATCTTCTCTCTCCCCCCTCTTCCCCCCTCCCCCTCTCTCTTCCCTCTCTTATCACTCCCTCTTTCTCTCTCTTCCCTCTCTTATCACTCTCTTTCTCTCTCTCTCTCTCTCTCTCTCTCTCATCTATCTCTCTCTCTCCCTCTCTTATCACTCTCTCTTTCTCTCTCTTCCCTCCCTCTCATCTATCTTCTCTCTCCCCCCTCTCCCCCCTCCCTCTCTCTCTCATCTCTCTCCTTTCTCTTTCTCTCTCTTCCCTCTCTCTCTCATCTATCTTCTCTCTCATCACCTTTCTCTCTCTATCTTCTCTCTCTCCCATCCATCCATCCATCCATCCATCCATCCATCCATCCAGCATCTCCCTCTCTTTCTATTATCCCAAAGGTGCTTTTATCAAGAAGCAACTGGACTTCCTGTTTTTTTCTTTTCTTTTCTTTTGAAGACGTTTCGCTTCTCATCCAAGAAGCTTCTTCAGCTCTGACTGGATGGTGGGGAAGGGACGGATTTATACTCCTTGCAGATGATGAGAAGCGAAACGTCTTTGAAGAAAAACGGGAAAGTCCAGCTGCCTCTTGAAAACAAGCACCTTTGGACAACTGTGATCTGGACGCCTGAGAATCTGGAGATAGATATCTTTCTATTATCTTTCTATCATCTCTTGCCTTTATTATTTTTGCAATAACTCAAAGCGGCAAACAGAAGAGGGACGGGTGCCGTCCTCCGTCCTCCTCCTATTTTCCCCACAACAACCACTCTATGGTTTGGATCAGCCCGAGGGCTGGAGATTGGCCCAGAGTCACCCAGTTGGCTTTCACGACCAAGTCAGGACTTAAAACTCACAAGTCCTTCTATCTTGGTGCTTAAAATCTTAAGATTTGAAATCATAGGAAGTCTGGTCCAACTCTCTGCCCAGGGTTCAGATCCTCATATCCTTCTAGCCTTCAGAAATTGTGGGAGCTTCATCCCTGGAAGCTTTCAAGAAGAGACTGGACAGTCATCTGTCAGAAATGGGGTAGGGTCTCCTGCTTGGGCGGGGGGGTTGGACTAGATGACCTCCAAGGTCCCTTCCAACTCTGTTTTATCTGTGTAATCCAATGGATGTCCAGTCTTTTCTTGTCCACCTTCCACGATGGAGCTTCTCGAATTCGGAAGACGGGCTAGCTCTATTGTTCGACGACGACCCTTTGAGAATCTATATCTATATCTCTATCTCTATACATTTAATTAAAATGCTTGCGTCACCCTCCTCCTGCCGCATCTTCCCAGCCAGTTTCCTCTTCGCCGCGTTGCTCTTCATGCATTTACAATTAAACCGCGATGGCGACAGGAGATATCAAGGAAAGACAAGCTGGCCAAATGCATACCAAATCAGATTTCGCCCCGTACTAATGTATGATAAGCTTTTAATGAGTCATATTATTGAGCTCATCCTGGAGGAAGAGAATGCTCTTAAGCCTTTCGCTGCCTTGCAAATCTTCCTGGATGGGGATTCGGGAGTTGACATCTCGAGATGTTCCAGGTGATAATCTTAACTCCAGTTTTTGCCTCTTGAGAAATTGCATCGTGGTTGTCACACACGTTGCATGGAGGACTCTCTCAGAGATAAAGCTGGGAAGAAAAGTGTATACCCCAAAATGTCTTGTAGAGGGATGGGTTGGGCCAGAGGACACACCTTCTAGAACAGAGGTCCCCAACCTTTTGGACCTCACGGACCACTAAATTCATAATTTTAAATCCTGCAGACCATTAATATGATCTGCCTAATGAGTGGCTGGGTGGGCGTGGCTAGGTGGTCATGTGACTGGGTGGGCATGGCCAACTCGATGTCACTCACGTTGAGGGGCGCCTAGTCGGCCTCTACTCGCCCCTCCCCTCCCAGCCACTCCTCTCCTCCCGCCCGGGCTCCTTAGGGCCCCAAGAGGAAGCAGTTGTTGGAGCTAAGCAGCCTCCACGAGAAAGAGTTGGAAAAACAGCTGGCTCAGTTCAAATTGGATCTGACCGAGAAGGAGGCTTAGCAGAAGCACTCACTCTCTTTGACATGGGGTGGCTTACAAACCATAAAAAAATCCTATATAAAAGAATAAAAAAACAGCTACCCCTCCCCTCCCAACCTCAATACCCAATCAAAGAAGCCCCTTGATGGGCTCCATCCCACTCTGGGTTCCCCAGGCCCGTTGGCAGAACCAGGTCTTCAGGGCCTTGCGAAGGAGAATCAAAAATGGGGGCCAGTCTAATCTCCATGGGGCTGATGTTCCAAAGGAAGGGAGCCACCACGGAGGAGGCTCTTCTCCGGGTCCCGCCAGGCGGGCCGCCCACAATATTTCCTTTCTCTCAAGGATGAGAAGGGAGCACGGTTATGGCTGCGGAGAAATGGGACGTTAGATGGAGGGAGGTTGAGGGTCTCTGGCTTTCTTGAGGACCCAAAAAACCTTCCTGGGAGTCGGGGGTTCTTGCTAACCATGGTTTCCCTCTTCCAGGACCCCAACTGGTACAAAGCCAAAAACAAAGTAGGCCGCGAGGGGATCATCCCGGCCAACTACGTTCAGAAGCGCGAAGGGGTGAAATCTGGAATCAAGCTGAGCCTCATGCCGTAAGTCGACCTCTCACCCGCCATTTTATAGCCCGTCTCAGCCAAATCCGAGAGATCAATTGGAAATTAGAAATCAAATATAAATTAAATGGCCAACTCTGCAAGCCAATACAGCGGCCTTTGCTTTTATTTTGACTCGTTTTCGGTCACACACCCCCCCCCCCGGATATAGATAGAAAGCACCGGTCCCGTTTTGCCAGTTTCTGCCAAGGAGGGGGCAAGCGCGTGGTGGAACCTCTGTGAAGAAATAAGTTTCTAGTCCTCGTGGTGGTCGGGACGTTCTGACTGCCCTCTTGGTCTCCTTCCCCCCCTCCCCTTCAGCTGGTTTCACGGGAAGATCACACGGGAACAAGCGGAGCGGCTGCTCTACCCTCCGGAGACGGGCCTCTTCCTCGTACGCGAGAGCACCAACTATCCGGGCGACTACACCCTCTGCGTCAGCTGCGAAGGCAAGGTGGAACATTACCGCATCATCTACTCCTCCAGCAAGCTGAGCATCGACGAAGAGGTCTACTTCGAAAACCTCATGCAACTCGTGGAGGTGAGGCTGAGCCATGGTTGGCAGGGAGAACCGGGGTGAGGGACCACCACCTGAGTCTCTCAGAATAACAGAGTTGGACGGGACCTTGGAGGTCTTCTAGTCCAACCCCCTGATCAAGCAGGAAACCCTACATCACTTCAGACAAACTGTTATCCAACATCTCCTTAAAAACTTCCAGTGTTGGAGCATTCACAACTTCTGGTGGCAAGTTGTTCCACTGATTAATTATTCTCACTATCAGGAAATTTCTCCTTAGTTCTAGGTTGCTCCTCTCCTTGATGAGTTTCCACCCATTGTTTCTTCTCCTGCCCTCAGGTGCTTTGGAGGATAGCTTGATTCACTCTTCTTTGGGGCAGCCTCTCAAATGTTGGAACGCTGCTATCACCCCTTGGTTGGAAAAAAGATCGCTAGATAATTAGTTAGTTAGTTAGTTTTTTAACTTACGCTATCTTATAGTTAGATAAGAATTTATAACCTATAATTTATAACTTATAACATATAACTAACTATAAGTTATAGATAAATTAGTTAAATTAGTTAAATTAAACTATCTTAACTTACTGCACCTGGGTATGGTTTGCCAATTGCACAGTGACAGATAGGACAGTGCTCCAGAGGGTCAACGTCATTCCCCTCTTAGGAAGAGCTTTATAGCCCCCGCTGCCTTAAGAAAGTTCAAAACATCCTTAAAGATCCATCTCATCCTGGATCTCACCCTTTTTTTTTTTTTTTTTTTTTTTTGAACTATTACCATCTGGCAGCCGGTACAGGACAATAAAAACAAAGACAAATAGGCTGAAAAACAGCTTCTATCCCAGAGCAGTAACCATATTGAATTCTACGGTATACTGCAATATTAATGCAATATTGGGTTTTCAATTTCAATTATATAGAATGTGAAGGATGTGTGTTTGTATTTTTATGGTTATAATGTATACCGAAGATGGCATTTAATTTTGAAGTAATAATAACTTTGTTGTCATTGTACGTGTATACACAGTATACCCATACAACGAAATTCACTTAACACCCAAGACCAGGTCCAACACACAAAACAATCCCCAAACACACTCCCACCCACCACAAATTCCCCACCCCTAAACTACCCAAACATCCACACAACAGACCAAGTCATGCTGTCCAACAGCTCACTGATGGTGGCCCTTTAGTTCATTGTTGAGGGCATTATAGCTCTGGGATAAAAACTATTCAGAAAATGTGTGGTCCGAGTTTTAATTGTTCTGTATCTTCTGCCAGAAGATTTCGTTGTACGATGTGCAATGACAATAAAGTAAACTAACTATATTATATATAAACACACACACACACACACACAAATATAAATATAAATATAAATGTGTGTGTGTGTGTGTTCTGTCGAAGCACCTGGTCTACCCCAATATGGGAGGGAGCATACAACTGTCTAATATGGAGGCAGCCCAAGTTCGAATCCGAGTAAGGGTATGGCTAGCTGATGAGAGCTAAATAGCTTGAAATAGATCTGTACTAGTCTCCCTTTATTTCTATATATGTACATATATATATGTACACTGTGTTTCCCTGAAAATAAGACCCTGTCTTATATTTTTTTGAACCCTGAAATAAGTGCTTGGCTTTATTGCCATGCACTCAAAAGCCCGATTGGGCTTATTATCAGGGGATGTCTTATTTGGGGGGAAACAGGGTATATTTATATATATTTATTTATATATATAAAGGACGCTGCTATCTTATCACCCCCTCGGTTGAAAAAAAAGTTGAGCTAGATAATGTGCCAGCTTAAAAGCCCCACCCACCCTCCTGAATTGGCGGCCTGACCCCACCCGGTGCGGTCACGGGCCGAAGGCAGCTGAAGCTCGCTCTCCGTTTCCTGTCTCTTCTCGCATCACTACGAGAGGCAGGAAGGCGCTTCTGAGCGATACTGAAAGTGCCCCCTTGCAAAACCAGCAGCCGGTGAGCTGCAGCTCAGCTCGGGCAGCGCCTGGCGGAAGCGTCTCTCAGTGGTGACAGACAAACAAGCGATGAATTCCCTCGGGGGGCATCAATGCTTGTAAAACGGTGGGCGAGTTAAGTTCCCCATTCCTTCCGTAGCCTCCAAGCAGAGTTATTTGGGAGCCTGGCTAAGGCGTCCTACTGCCCCCTGGTGGTCTTGCAGGGTCATTGGGACTTAACTGGGACACTGGAAGATGCCTAGAGCTCAAAAAAAGTGACGTAGCAAACACAGGAATTAGGACTCTTAGAGGGAGCAGGGATGGCCAGAAGCAGTTTCATCCTGAGTGGAACATTATTTATTTTATTAGATTTTTATAAATGTGTAATACATGTGTTTGTGTTTGTGTGTGTGTCCTTTATATATATAAATATATATATATATATATATTTATTTATTGGTTCGATTTATATGCCGCCCTTCTCCAGAGACTCAGGGCGGCTTACAATGCGTTAAGCAATAGCCTTCATACTTTTGTATATACCTGCTTAGTAGGGCTTTCGCCCCCTCCTAAGTGGTGTTCTTTTTTTATACAAAGTCAGCTTATTGCCCCCACAATCCGGGTCCTCATTTTACCTACCTTGAAAGGATGGAAGGCTGAGTCAACCTTGAGCCTGGTGAGATTTGAACTTGCAGTAATTGCAGGCAGCTGGTGCTAGTTAACAGCACTTTAGTCTGCTGCGCCACCAAGGCTCTTATATACCCTGTTTCCCCCCAAATAAGACGTCCTCTGATAATAAGCCCAATTGGGCTTTTGAGTGCATGGCAATAAGGCCAAGCGCTTATTTCAGGGTTCAAAAAAATATAAGACAAGGTCTTATTTTCAGGGAAACACGGTATGTATCAGCAAATTTATATTTGCTGATAAAGAAATAAAGGAAGACTAGTATAGATCTATTTCAAGCTATTTAGCTCTCATCAGCTAGCCATACCCTTACTCGGATTCGAACTTGGGCTGCCTGCATATGGCTAGCTGATAAGAGCTAAATAGCTTGAAATAGATCCTATACTAGTCTCCCTTTATTTCTTTATCAGCAAATATAAATTTGGTATAAAATGGTTTGTCGTGAATGCGACTGCTTGAGGGCTCCTGGATTGGAGCTGAAAGGCGAAAGGGAAGCAGTATGCTCCCTTCCCACATGCTGGGGTAGACCAGGTGCCTTGATAGAAAAACACTTTATATATATATATAAAATTATATATATGTTTTTCTTTTAGCCAGGTTTTTCCTACATAGCCAAGATTTTTCTACAGCCCTAGCTCAGTGGAGTCACATCCACTCGATTCTGAGCTTTTTTCTTCTGACAGCCAACAGGCCCTATGCTGCCCTATGCTGCTTATGCTTACCTTTACAGGGAGGATACATGAGATGTGGGTGTGGCTTACTGATGATGGCTAACAAGCCAGAAATAGATCTATATAAGTCTCTCACCAAGCAGCATACTCCCAGAATTCTCCAACCTTGGCAACTTTAAGCCTGGTGGACTTCAACTCCCAGAATTCTGGGAGTTGAAGTCCACCAGGCTTAAAGTTGCCAAGGTTGGAGACCCCTGGCATATAATATCCACACACATACTATACTCCAGTCCCTGGGAGTGGGTTGGTTTATGGTACTCAAGATCAAAGAAAGGCCACGGCTACCGTCAAAAGCCGCTTGTCCCAAGCGGTTAGTGGAGGGACACACGTTCAGCAAACTGGTTCTTCAAGAGAGAGAGAGAGAGAGCTATAAATGTCCCCCTCTTTGGCAGCACTACACCTCGGATGCTGACGGGCTCTGCACTCGTCTCATGAAGCCGAAGGTCATGGAAGGCACCGTGGCGGCGCAAGACGAATTCTCACGGAGTAAGTGCCACACGGAAGCGGAGTGGGCTGCGCTTTATCCTTCTCTCGTCCTCGTCCTCCTGCTTCTTCTTCTTCTTTTTCTCTTCCTTCTCCTCCTCCCTTTCTCCTTCTCATTTTGTGTAGTTCCTCCTTCTCTTTATGTCCCCCCCCCTCCTCCTCCTCCTCCTCCTCCTTTCTTTAAAAAAGTTTTTTATTTATAATACAAATTAAAAACAGTGGACATACTGTGACATATCCTCCTTCTCTTTCTCCTCCACCTCCACCTCCTGCTTCTCCTCCTCCTCCTTTTCCTCCCTCTCCTTCTCTTTCTCTTCCACCTTCTACTTTGCCTTCTTCTGCTCCTCCTCCTCCTCCCTCTCCTTCTCTTTCTCCTCCACCATCTTCTGCTTCTTCTTCTTCTCCTCCTCCTCCCCCCTCTCCTTCTCTTTCTCTTCCACCTTCTACTTCTCCTCCTCCTCCTCCTCCTTATCCTCCCTCTCCTTCTCTTTCTCTTCCACCTTCTGCTTCTCCTCCTTCTCCTCCTCCTCCTCCTCCTCCTTATCCACCCTCTCCTTCTCTTTCTCTTCCACCTTCTGCTTCTCCTCCTCCTTATCCTCCCTCTCCTTCTCTTTCTCTTCCACCTTCTGCTTCTTCTTCTTCTCCTCCTTCTCCTCCTCCTCCCTCTCCTTCTCTTTCTCCTACACCTCCATTTTTACCTTCTGTTTCTCCTTCCAGGCGGATGGTCCCTCAACATGAAAGACTTGAAGCTGCTACAGATCATTGGGAAGGGAGAGTTTGGAGGTGAGTCAGGTGTCCCCTTGGTTTCTCTTGCTGAGACTTCACATTTGAAGGACCTCTTCAATGCTGGATAAGTGGTCTGTTGCGACCCACCAGATCTCATCTCCTTCCTTCAGACGTCCGCTCTCTTTTGCAGATGTGATGTTGGGTGATTACCACGGAAACAAGGTTGCTGTGAAATGCATCAAAAATGACGCCACCGCACAAGCCTTCTTAGCTGAAGCTTCGGTGATGACGTGAGTCCCTGCCTCCTTGACCAGGAGGACTTAATCTGGATTAACATCTGGTTGCAGAGAAAGATGGCAGAGAACGAAGATGTACCTGAGGTTCAGGCTAGGTTATCCCAGCTTCTCATAAATGCTTTGGCTTAGAAAACAGTGGAGAATACATTTACTCGCTCCTGACATTGTCATTCAGAAGGAGACAAGATCAAGAGTCCATAGAAGAAACTTTAGGACCACTACCCAAAAAGTCTTGCTTCTTCTAGATTCCCATATAAACTAGAACCCATGGGGGTTTTGTGAACTACTCACAAAAGTTTCTCCTAACTTCACAAGGGAAGTTAGGAGAAACAACCCTCAAAACGTTTGGGACACAAACTCTTCAAGGCATGTCAAACAAGGGAGAGGTGGGACTCCATATCCACATTGTGCGAAAGGAGGGCTGTCTTTTGACGCCAGTGGTGGGCGTGGTGCCCCTTGCACGAAGACTTTTACTTGCAATGGAAAAAAAACTACGGTTGATCCCTCTTTGATCTTCTCCCCATCTGCTCCATCTCAATGCAGACAGCTCCGGCATAGCAATTTGGTCCAGATGTTGGGGGTGATCGTGGAGGAGAAAGGGGGCCTCTACATTGTCACAGAATTTATGGCAAAGGTAAGAACTTGCTGTCCTTTCCAAGGAAGGTTGGTCTGGAAGTTGGACGTTGATGAAGAACATACAGTAGCAATGGCAGACTTGCCTATGAGAAGGAGGAGGCCTCCTTAAACTTGGCTTCTACTTTCTGATGATCTTTCGTTGGTTCATTGAATATGGGTCATCAAGTCCTTGTTGACTCTTAGTCAACCGAAACATTTTTCTCCAGGACATTTTGAACTAATCTAGTCCTTCAGATCTTCTAATAGTGCCAGGGGTGAAATGCTCCTGGTTCGGACCGGATCGCCCAATCCGATAGCGATGACGGAAGGGCTGAAAAAAATGCTTTTAAAAGTAAAAAAAAAAAAGCCTCCAGTGATTGCGCGGCTCAGCTGGTATCGCCAGAGGCTTTTAAAAGCATTTTTTCCACAACCTCTTCGGCCAAAGAGGTTGTAGAAAAAAATGCTTTTAAAAGCCTCTGACAATCCCAGCTGAGTTGCCTGATCGTCAGAGGCTTTTAAAAGCATTTTTTTCCCGCTGCAACCTCTTCGGCCGAAGAGGTTGTAGAAAACATGCTTTTAAAAGTTTTTTTTTTAAAAAAGAAGTTTGCCACACCCACCCAGTCACATTACCCCCACTCCCACCAAGCCACGCCCACAGAACCGGTAGTAACAAATTTTACATTTCACCACTGAATAGTGCCCTTATCACCGTTCATCTTGTGATTGGTCATCCTCTTCTCTTTCCTTCCATCGTTTCCAACATCTTGACTTTTCAAGTCTTTGTGTTGATCGACCTTCAGTCTTTAAGGTCTTTGGAATCAAATTCTTTTGACCTCAGAAATGGAGAAGAAAAGGTTGATCAGCATCTTTCTTCTTCTTCTTCTTCTTCCTCCTCCTCCTCTTCTTCCTCTTCCTCCTCCTCCTCCTTCTACTCTTGTCTGTTTCCCAGAATTGGAGCAGAAGTTGGAGTTACTTCAACTTCCCTTTCCTATATACCCTGTTGCAACCAGCATTTTTTCACTAGAATCCTTTTATTTCTGATAACACTTCCAAGCAACCCTTAGGGTTAACAATGTCCCTTCCTTCCTTCCTTCCTTCCTTCCTTCCTTCCTTCCTTCCTTCCTTCCTTCCTTCCTTTCCTTCCTTCCTTCCTTCCTTCCTTCCTCCATTTTCCTTTCTCCCTTCCCTCCTTCCCTCCCTCCCTCCCTCCTCCATTTTCCTTTCTTCTCTCCCTCCCTTTCCCCTTTTCTTCCTGCTGTCTCCTCCCTCCCTCCTCCCCTCCCCACTCATTCCCCCATCAGTTAATTTCCAGAGTGAAATGCTATTTACTGCTGGTGTAACCTGCAGTTTTGAAAATGTATTGGGCTTTTTTCTTTGCTTTCCTACAAGGGTATGCATTTCTCTCTTTCTCTCTCTCTCTCTCCTTCCCTCCCTCCCTCTCTCTGTATGCCTGCCTGCTTCCTACACAAAGAGGAGAGTGCCATCTACTGGGGAGTGCCACTAATTGCACCCTTGCCCCATATAATAGGGGTAACCGTCTTGAGACGAGTTTGATTTCAACCCTTCATGGGTTTTGAAGGTGTTCTTGGTCTGCCTTAGATAATTTTGGGGGACATCTTCAGACAGAGCTCAGGGAATTTATTTCGTATATTACATTTCTACACCTTCCATCCCCCATCCCAGATGACTCTGGGCAATTTGAAACAACATACTGAAACACTCTGAACGCATCACTAAAAGCACCATTTTAAAACCGAATTAAGAACGAGGTTCAGTTTTACAGGTTCAAAGAGAAAAATCGAAGTTTAAAAAATTCAGAAGACTAAAAAAAAAAAAAAAGCTAATACATTGTCTCCCACATTGTTAAGAACAGGGGTGAAAAAAACTTTTTCATATCCCTTTCTTGAAGATGAAATTCCAGACTGGCTCTCTATCACTTCTTGCCAAGCTTAATCCTTTCTCTCAAATCTTCCGGCAGGGAAGTTTAGTCGATTATCTTCGTTCCCGTGGAAGATCCGTGCTGGGAGGCGAGTGTTTGTTGAAGTTTTCCTTGTAAGTATATTGCCTTTTTGTGAAGAAAATGCTTGGGGTATGTTTGTGTGTATTTCTAGAAAAAAAAGGCATGTTGAAGCTTCACAATTGAGGGGGGGGTTTCTCAGTGGCGTGGTGATATGCCCCTCCCCTTTTCTTGACCCTCACTCCTCTCTTCCTTTTTGCCCCGTAGAGATGTCTGCGAAGCCATGGCCTACTTGGAAGCCAACAACTTCGTTCACCGGGACTTGGCAGCGAGGAACGTCTTGGTCTCGGAGGACAATATTGCTAAAGTCAGTGACTTTGGGCTGACAAAAGAAGCTTCGTCCACCCAGGACACTGGCAAGCTCCCGGTGAAATGGACAGCACCAGAAGCACTTAGAGAAAAGGTGAATGGGGGACCTGGGATTGATTGACAACTAACCCTTGGCTCAGCCAGGTAGGACTTGATAAGGCCCACAAGGACACAGGTGTTGTGGCCCTCCAGCGGCCAGTGGATCTGGCATCAGATTCAGAGAGTGAGGAGGTTGGGGAGGAACATGGGCCAATCCTGGAATCTGGGGAAGGCTCTGATGAGGGCTCTGCGTCAGAGGCAGAGAGGGGGCCAGGGCCGTCTGACAGTTATCAGCTGCCTTCGGAGTCAGCAAAGTCTTTCAAGGGAAAATTTACAGTCAAAGACCTTATCAGGCTTGGAGAGCTGCCAGGCCGATATCTTTAAAACTTGGCAAGGAGTCTCAGAGAGTCACGAACCAATTAAGTGAACAAATTGTCTCCTGCAAACTCCACTCCTCTTTTGCTCCCCTTTATTCCCTGTGGGAGAGGCCATTCACCGTCCACTTGTGGCCTTACTCCCCAGTCGACCCTTGTTCTTTAGCTGTTCCCTTCGTCTGGCAACTCTGCGCATGCGCACACTGAGAAAAAGGATCCAGCTATTCATCTGCCTCACTGACTCCGAAGGCAGCTGACAACTATCAGACGGCCTTGGCTCCCTCTCTGCCTCCGACGCAGAGCCCTCATCAGAGCTTTCCCCAGACTCCAGGACTGAGCCATGTTCCTCCCCAACCTCCTCACTACCTGAGTCTGCCACCAGCTCTGCTGGCTGCTGGCGGGCCACAACACAAGCAAAACATCAAGCAAAGATGATCAGGGAGCTGGGGTTTAAATCGTACAATGTACTGCTAAGGGAACTAGGGACGTTTAGCCTAATGAAGAGAAGGATTAGGGGGAGAAAGGATAGCTGTCTTCCAGCACTTGAGAGGTTGTCACGGGGAAGACTGAATTGACCTGTTCTCCAAAGCACTTGAGGACAAGACAAGAAGCAAAGGGTGGAAGCTCCTCAAGAAGGGTGGAGCCAACTTGGAAATAAGGAGGAATTTCCTAACAGTGAGGACAATTAATAATTTGCTTCCTGAAGTTGTGGGTCATCGATCACTGAAGGTTTTCAAGAAAAGAGTGAGCAACCCATTTGTCCAGCATGGTATGAGGACTTGGCCAGGAGGGTTGGACTAGAAGACCTCTAAGGTCCCTTCCAGTCCTAGGATTCTATGATTTGGTAATCGGTTCTCTGCAAAGGAGTCTAAAGGCCGAACAGTGCCTCTTTCTCTGGTGGTAGAACATCTGGCCAGCTTGATCCAGGTCTTTTGACAATGTCTCTCTCTCTCTCTGTGTGTGTCTTCTTCTAACCTTGGCAGAAATTTTCAACCAAATCAGACGTATGGAGCTTTGGAATTCTTCTCTGGGAAATCTATTCCTTTGGGCGAGTGCCTTATCCGAGAATTGTAAGTGAAGTTTCTCAAGGGTGTTTGATCCCTGAAACCCTCCCCACCAGCTTATCTGGTAGTTCCGTTACAAAAGCTGCCAGTCTTGGGAGATTCCTGTATTATAGCCAGTAAACAATGAAGTCGTCAGTGTTGAACTGACTACATCTGTGGATCTACACTCTCCTTAAAGCAGGGGTGGGCTTCAAAAATTTAAGCAAGGGGTTCTCTCTCTGGTTGCTGGATGGGCGTGGCAATGCTGGGCATGGCTTAATCTGCCTCCTGCACCATGGTGGGTGGGTGGGAGGTGTTTTTGCCCTCCCCGGGCTCCGGAGGCTTTCCATGAGCCTCCAGGAGGGCGAAAACAGCCTCTCCAGGCTCCGGAGGCCCTCTAAAGCCGGAAACTGGTCTGTTCCCAGCCTTCTTGAACTTCCGATAGGCCTGGTTTTCACCCTCCCCGAGCCCCCATGTGCGCTGTGCACTTACCTGCATCCAAAACGAGCCGCATGGGGACTCCGGGGAGGGAAGGGGTGGGCTGGGCCAGCCAGGACTGGGATTTGGGGGTTCTCTGAACTGCACAGAATCTGAGCTAGAGGTTCTCCCGAACCCCCAGCAGCCCCCCCCCTCCCTAAAACGGTTTTTTCCCCCCCCCCCCCATTTTTCTCCCCCACAGCCTCTGAAGGACGTGGTCCCTCGTGTGGAAAAGGGGTACAAGATGGACTCTCCGGACGGTTGCCCCCAGATTGTCTACGAGGTGATGAAAAAATGCTGGACTTTGGATGCCGCCCACCGGCCGTCCTTCCACCAATTACGGGAACAGCTAGAGCATATCAAAGCCAGCGAGCTCTACCTGTGAAGCCGACCGGAGGGCGGGGCTTCTTTTGGACACGCCCCTCCCCGCCCTCTCCCCTGTGCACAGACCTCAGGGGCGAGGCTGGGCGAAGAAAAAAAAAACCCCTCTCCCTCTCCCCGCCCCCCCAAGCGAAGCAGGTGGTTGGTTTTTCCAGGAATCCAAATTTCTCCACTGTCTTTAGAGAAACGTACGGACCTTGGACCCCTCCCCAGGGGCCCCGATGGGTAGGTGGGGAGCCCGGCTCCCTTCTCCCGTGGAAGTCTCTCTTTCTCTCCCCCTCTCTCTCTCAGCTGAACCACCTGAAGAATGGACACGTGGGAACCAACATGGAGGTTTCCTTCTCCTTCCTGTCCTTTAAAAACAAAATCTTGTTTCACCGCAAGGGTCGAATCGTATCATATTTTAGTTGCATGTTCTCCAACGTTGTTGAATCCCTTCTTTCTTCTCGTGGACTCCCCCACCCCGCCTCCCCTTTCCTTTAATTCATCCCTACCTCCCTCCCACCTGTTTTCAGCCTCCCTCCGGAACCAAACTCATACTCGTTCTTGTTTCGGAGGAAAACGTAAGAGGGGACCACAACCCAAAAAAAAAAAAAATGAAATGGGGGGAAAAAAAACAGTGGTGGGACAGCTATTAAAGGCGCCGATTTTCTTGGAGAAAGAGAATTCCTTTCTTGATAACTTTCTCAAAAAAAAAAAGAGAGAGAGAGACCCCCTGAGCTCTGGAATTCACGATCCAGCATCCTCTTCCTTTAAATACACCTTTAAAAAATAATAATAATAATAATAATTGGTTTTTGTTCCTTTTTAAATTTTTAATTTTCAGGGTTTGTTTATTTTTTTTTTTAAAAGGAAATTATGGTTTCAAACTGCACCGGAAATCCGCTGTTTTGGCTGGGTTTTTAACTCGAGTTACAAAACTTATTTTTTAATGTCCTGAATAAAAACGGGAGTTTGTTTGTTTGCCTTTTTTAAAAAAAAAGAAGAAGAAGAAGAAGAAGAAACATCTGCGTACACAGGGAAACCCTGCCTTACCTGAATCAGGTCTCGACCAAACCAAGGAGGTGTTTCTTCTCAAAAAAAAAAAAATCACAAAAAAATAAAACGCAGAGCCACCCAGGAAAAGGGGGTTTGGATGGGGTTTGTTTGTTTTTTTAAATTTTTTGTTTAGTTCTTTGCTTCAAACAGTGTTTGCATGCTGCCTCCAGAATCCCTTCCCAGTTGTGTCTTTTATGCTCATATTATGCTACCAACTGTGAGATTAAGCTGCATTAAAAGAAAAAGAGAAAAAAAAAAACATCCCCACATCTCCATATGAAGATGTAACTTCGTTGTCTCGTCTCTATAAACTTTTTTTTTTGGGGGGGGGGGGTTGGTTTGTAAAAAAAAAAAGTAGGGAGGCTTTTATAGGTAACGCCTCGATTTACAACCGTTCACTCAGCTCAAAGTTACAACGGCCCTGGAAAAAGGGACTTAAACTACTGTTTTCCCACACTTAAAACCGTGAAAGCATCCTTGTGGTCTCGTGATCGAAATATGGCGCTTGGCAATACAGCAGTGGCCAAAATTGCGGGAACCTTTTGGGAAAAATGTATTTTCTAAAACTAGCTAATAACACCACTTTATTTTGGGGGTGGGGAGTAGTATCATAAAATTATATATCAATGGAAAGATCATTGAATCAAGAATGTAATGCCATAACTTTTATGAAGGATTTGCTATTGGAATAGCAGTGACAATATAAAGAAGAAAAGTGAAAGATGTAGAAAAAAAACGAGAGATGCAAAAATGATCCCCATGTCAGTGAATACTTAGCTGGGTAACCTTCCGCATGAATGATGGCCTTGCAATGTCTTCCCATGGAGTGAACCGAGTCTTTTAGTTCTGCAGCTGTTATGTGAAACCAAGATTGAATGATGGCTTCTATTAACTGGGTTTTATTGCTGGGTCGCTTCTGACTAACCAGTTTCTTTAGTCGGCCCCATAGATTTTCAATTGGGTGAAGGTCTGGGCTATTCCCAGGCCATTCCAGCAGTGGAATAGGATTATCTTGAAACTCCAAAGAAAAAAAGTGGTGTTATTAGCCATCAAACTTCAAAAATACACTTTTCCCAAAAGGTTTCCACAATTTTGGCCACTACTGTAGTATATATGACAGTCGAAGTGTCATAAAGCAAAGTCAGTGTGGAAGCCGGATTCACTTAACAACCGGGTGACTTAATTTATCAACTAGTGATTCACTTAACAACTGAGGCAAGAAAGGTGGTAAAAGAGGGCAAACTTCACCGAACAAATGTCTCGCTTAACAACAAATTTGGGGGGACTCCATTGTGGTCGTAAGTCGAGGACTACCTGTATTCAATGATGTATTTAGGTGAGCCGTTATTCTTTTCCTTCCAAAAAAAAAAAAAAAAAAAGTGTGGGGAAGGCTTTTTAATCGTCAAGAAATCTGAAATAGATGGTGGATTCTGCTTGCAAAGCCTCAGCCTTTTGTCTTGTTCTTTTATTCTTGGAAATCATGCAGGGTTGAGAGAGCAATAGCCCTTAAGACTTATATCCCACTTCTCAGTGCTTTTACAGCCCCCTCTAAGCAATTTACAGAGTCAGCCTCCTGCCCGCAACAATCTGGGCCCTCATTTTACCGACCTCGGAAGAATGGAAGGCTGAGTCAACTTTGAGCTGGCCAGGATCGAACTGCTGGCAGTGGGCAGAGTTAGCCTTCAATCTTGCATTCTAACCACTTTGCCACCAGGGCTTCCTTCCTTCCTTTTCTCTCCTTCCTCCCTTTGCAATAACACTTAAGACTTCTATACCACTTCACAGACCTCTCTAAGTGATTTACAAATTTGGCCTCTTTCCCCCAACATGGATCTCCTTTTACCCACCTCGGAAGGATAGAAGGCCGAGCCAACCTTGAGCTGGCCAGGATTGAACTGCTGGCAGTGGGCAGAGTTAGCTTTCAATCTTGCATTCTAACCACTGCGCAGGGAAGATGATAGGCAAGTTAGCAGAGAAGGAAATACTTGGTGATATCTAACATTCAAGGATGAAGAAAACTAGTTGCTGTTTTCCCCGCTAAGAAAACCAGGTGAATGAACCATGAAGGAATTGGTCAATAGTGGCCAAAAATCAGGAATCTGGTTGCCTCTCTTCCGACTTAACACTTTTGTAAAAAGGCACCAGCTTTCAAGAGCATCAGTTGACTTCAAACGCATGGAGAGGCTTAATCTAATTCATCTAGTGTAAGTTCCCAAAGCTTTTAAATAAAACCTGTTAGTAGGAAAAGGGGGAAACCAACCTTGATTTAAAACTGGATCAAGTTCACTATCTGTAATTCATTTTAGTGCCACTAGATGGCTCTCTCCCCCCAGATTACTACTAGACCCGTTGTTTTCATTCAAAGCCCTTGGTTTATATTTTTTTTACAAGCAATTTTTATTAATCAAGTCTTCCCAGTGAGTGGGATTACAACTCACATAAACCCCAGCCAACCTGCTTGGAAATGATTTCTGGTTCTATGCCCAACACATCCAGAGAGTGGCTAGTAAAGAAAGGCTGCGAGATATGGTTAGACGAATTGTTCGATTTGGTATAAGAATTTGGGAAAGATTCTATAAAAGTTAAAACAGTTCTTTCTTGCCAAAGACTGCAAATCCAAGCCCAATCCTCTCCAGAGACAAAGGGTCGGGTCTCAGATATTAGGGGAGAAAATTAATATTTCTGCCTGAAGCCCTGCAGAAGTTCTGCCGATCAAGTTGATAAGATTGACATTCTAAGAAACTTGTGAGCTTGGTATCAACAAAAGTGAAATAAAGAGGAATTACGCATTTCTTCAACCCTTTCAAATACCTGGGATATACTGTAAATGGGCTGCATTAATTTGCATAGGCCTGCCTAATCATCGGCCTTTGGAATGCCATGGGTTCAAAAAAGGCTTTTGAGTTGATAGACTCCTAATGTTTCAATATTTAGCTTGGTTGAGCTGAGCACCGAAGCTCCCGTTTCTTCCCCAAGGATAATGTGGAAGGAGGACCATCGGGGTCTTCTATTTAAATACTTTAATGGAATAGTTAAGGGTCTCTGTGAGGAGGGCCAAAAAATCAAGATGGCGGTTGCAATGACACAAAGAAGGTCCCATCCTGTCAACGCCAGACCAAACTAGGAAACTAAAGTTAAAACGCTATTACTGTTTTTATTATCAAGTTATAGAAACAAAATCTTGCCAGACTGAATACACTCCTCTCCCTCCTCTTATCGTCAAGGAAACTAAGAGGGTTCCTTGAGATGCTTTCTTAACATTTCTGGCACCGGGCTCAAATTTCTTTTAACTTGTCCTAGTTGTGTCTCTTCCTCCTGTTCTTCTAAGGTTATTCTCAAAGCCTATGACACATCATTTCGTACCAGTATGGATGTTTTGCACGCCTATAAAGGGCTTCGATCACAAAATTGTGATGGCCATCTTAGTTGTTGGGGATTTTTTGGGGAGCCCTCTCAAAACAGCTCCTTTTAAAGGATCTCAAGTATCATTTTATGAGTCAAATCTCCTGCCGGGAGCTCTGCTTATCAAACAGATCACAAATCAGCCTTCCACGTCCTGCCCCTCAGGAAAAAATAATGGAATTAATAGTCTGCAATATGGATGTTTTTTATTAACTCCCCAGGAACTCAGCTCAGCATGAGGGAGCTGCCCTTATTTATTTATTAGTACTAATATTTTATGCATTGTCATTAACTAGCATATACTTTATAACTGTTTGTCCCCAACGGCTGAGTTAGATCGTAATCGGATAAAGCCGCAGAATCTAAATCAACTTGAGTTCCCCATAGTGTATATTTATTAAAAAAAAGAAAGAGGGGGAAAGAAATTCAGACTTGCTCTCTTGATGTTCAGTAAAATGAAAGACAATTTTACCGCAAATGAACAGCTCCCACGGACATAAACCTTCCACGGGGAGTTGAAAAAGAGGCCGCTGGTGAATTTTTGGCTCTTTGCAATTTCACTCAGCAATGGGAAAGAGAGAAAGTCAAAATTGCACAACAAATACCTGGGATAGGCAAGTAGAGTAGAGTAGAGTAGAGTAGAGTAGAGTAGAGTAGAGTAGAGTAGAGTAGAATAGAATAGAATAGAATAGAATAGAATAGAATAGAATAGAATAGAACAGAACAGAACAGAACAGAACAGAACAGAACAGAACAGTGATGGCTAACCTTTTTACCATCGTGTGCCAGGATGGGGGGGATGGGGGAGTCGCGTGCATGTGTGCCAATGCCCATAATTCTATGCGCCCCTCTCCCGTGCATGCATGTGCAACCCCCCCCCCCGCTTCCCCCTCCCTGCTCCTGACACATGATGGCCACAGAACCAGTAGTTAAAAAAAATGAATTCCATCACTGATGCCAGCTGGGGAATTCTGGGAGCTAAAGTTCAATAGCATGAGGCCTAGGGAATCCTGGGAGTTGAAGTCTGCACATCTTACAGTTCAATAAACACGCGAGCTGGGGAATTGTGGGAATCGCAGTCCACAGGTCTTAAAATTGACTGAGGTTGGAAGAGACTCCTCTTGGGC